GGGAGGAGGTGTGGGGACAGGGTGCAGGCTCTGGGAGGGAGTTTGGGGGCGGGAGGAGGTATGTGGGGAGGGGGTGAGGGTGCAGGCTCTGGGAGGGGGTTGGGGGTGTGGCGCTTACCTGGGACTCCGGGGCAGGCCAGGGGGCCTCCATGTGCTTCTGCCCCCAGGCACCGCCCCTGCAGCACCCCATTGGTCGCAGGGGCGATAGAGGTGGGGGCAGCGTGCAGAGGCACAGCCCCGCCCTGCCCCTAGTCCGAAGAGACGGGCTGGCAGCCACTGGAGTGAACAGGCAGATGCCGCTCAGCTCCACTGCACTGCCGGGGCCCCTGAGGGGGCAGCGCCTGAGGGCGGCAGGTGGGGCCAAAGGAGAGACCCAGCCCCAAAACTGCTGGAGCCCCGCGGGCCATATTGGAGAGGCTCGCAGGCTGCAGATGGCCCAGAGGCCGGGCATTTGAGACCGCTGGCTTAAAGTATCTCATTGCTATTGTCTAGTCGAACTTTCAAGGGTGGGTCCAGTTCCAGCTGCTCAATGTTGCGGGGAAAGGGGAAAGAGAGGGTGATGGTTGGAATACAAATCTCCCCTTCTAATATTAATCCTACCACTGGATCAAATATGAGGCATAAACTCTCAACCTTTTTATACATTATTATTCTGAAGTCTGTTCCCATGTGGAGATGTTTCAGCTGGAAGATCACCTGCCCTCTAGTGCTCTCTGCAGTCTGCTTTCTTAGCAAGTGTGAGATGACAATGGCTTTGGCTCAGTTCCCATGTGCACAGGTGGACTCAAGTGTCAATGGCAGATGGACACTCTCATGCTCAAAGTGCATTGGACCACACCACCTGTCCTCAATGGGCATGCTGTAGGAGTTTCTCATTTTCTCCTCTTCAATCATGCAGATAAATCATTCATTCCCACTTGGATGTTGCAATATCCATTACTTCCTTCTGGCCCCTTACCTAAGTAGCCTATGATGTCTCAGAAATACAGAGAGGTGTGCACTCAAGAGCTTACTTCCCTGGAGATTTGAACTACCCCCTTGCTGAACATTCTTCTCAGTTTGCCCCTCACTGTTTGTCTAAGGTCTTGCTTTACTGGTATGTCCATGATTATCGGTGAGGTTTCATGCCATTTACAATTTCTCCTTGCTTCGGGAATGTGATTTCTTCACTGTGGGCTCCATGGGCACATAAAGTGCCTCTAAAGTCACTGGGAGCTCTTTCATAGACTTCAGAGGGCACAGATCAGATGTCAAGTACACATAAAAGAGGCGGGCCTGAGCCATCCAGAAATATCACCCTGATGACTTCAGCACATGTGGTGCGAGACAGCACCATTTTGTTTTCCAATATGACAGCAAAATCTCCTCTGATCCATCCTGCAGTGAGTTTCTGCTAGCAGCTGCATTTCTATCCGGCATTCATTATCCCCCACACTGGAGCTCTGTCAGGCTGGCTAAAAATTGCCAAGTTTGGTAATAAAAACTTTCCCAATGTTTTGGATTATTATAACTTTTCCCAGTGCACCATGCTATTCTAGTTCTGATATATACCCTGGGTCAGCTAATGTCATTGGTCTCTGGGCTTCTTGTATCAGTAGGTCTGACAGTAAAAATAAGACGACTTAATCTGTTACCACAGTTCCTGGCCTTGAGAGAAGAGAATTGTCTCAGTTGATTTTATCCATTCAAGCTTTTAACTGTGTGGGAAGAAGTGCAGTGGTTAGTTTTCCCTTGCTTTCTCCTATTAATCCCATTCACAACAAGCCTCTTCTCTCTTGCTTCTCTCACTTCTATTGCATGCTAATTGGAATCCATCCAGCATACTGTAGATTTGACTCGCCAAACCTTCCATCCCTCCTGTGATGGAATACACCCTTGTATTCACATCCAGAACACTACTGTAATGACCTTTGTACAAGGCACACCTTGGGAGGCATCATTTGAAATCTCATAACATATTGTGGTAAAATGCTTGTGGAAACATTGTGTGAAGTTGTTAACATAAGCTGACATCATGTCTGACGTGTGTTTCCCAAATAAGTTTGGGAAGTGGCTAAACCAGTTTCTCTAAGACAGAGGGCAAGCTGATGCCCCAGCCAGGTGTCAACAAAGCTGATGGATCATTGTCAAGGCTGCTTCCCCACTCTGAACTTTAGGGTACAGATGTGGGGGCCTGCATGAAAACTTCTAAGCTTAACTACCAGCTTAGATCTGGTCCGCTGCCACCACTCCCAATGTGCTAATTCCCTTCCCTGGGTAGCCTTGAGAGACTCTTTACCAATTCCCTGGTGAATACAGATCCAAACCACTTGGATCTTAAAACAAGGAGAAATTAACCATCCCTCCTCCTTTCTCCCACCAACTCCTGGTGGAGCAAGATCCAACCCCCTTGGATCTAAAAACAAGGAAAATCAGTCAGGTTCTTAAAAAGAAGGCTTTTAATTAAAGAAAAAGGTAAAAATCATCTC